TATATATATTACCTTTTTGTTCTCTTCTTCCACATCTGCTAGATTCCTGCGGAGAAGTTCGGCCTCGTCTTCCACCAGCTGAAGCTGCTGCCTGAGCTCTGAGAGAGCCTCACCCTGCTCTCTGCTCTGTTGACCTCCACTGCTAGAACCATCCACTCCAGCTGCTGCCAGACTAGGAGGTAAAGAGCAGACGAGCAGTGTTAATGAGGACGTCGGGTGCTTTTACTCTTCCAGCTTCTGCATATTCAAACTTGAAATAATTTCAATAACTATCTTTGTCAGAATTTACATATTTAATGTTCCCCAGTCCCCAGTTTTTCTTTTCATAACAGCTATCATCTCATTCCACTAAACTGCTGGTTGACTCATCAGGATTCTGATGAATGAGTGCCAAGTACCTGTCCTCCCTCATGTCATCCAGCTCAGCCTTCAGCCCTCTGTTCTCCACCTCGAGCTCCACAATCTTTCGCCCCAAGATGTTTGCTTCCTCCTCCACAAGGCGTAAACGGAGCTTCAGCTCAGATTCACGAGTGGTTGGAGGCCCTCCAGCCTCACCTTTAGGCAGAGGGCTGTCCACATCCCCATAAAAGGACCGGTACTTCTGGAGCTCCTGCTCAAGTCGGTCCTTCTCTTTGTCGATCTTTGCCATTTTTTTCCTCATCAAGATGGCTTCCTCTTTGATGAAAGCTAGCTGGCATTTCAGATCTTCATTTTCTTCCTGTGAACAGATGGAACATTTATTTCATTCAGTAACTTCCCAACTTTTGAGATAAATAAAGTACGTCTTAAGTCTTTTGCCCATTCTACCAGAGACAATATAGTAGCAATATAGCTTCTCTAGTGTTCTAATGACTTTGGTAGCCTGCTTAAAAATTTACACCCAAGATCCAGGTTTGATGATACTCCATGTTACTTTTACTCACTATAAAATATGACTATCCAGCCAGTCTATCACATTTATTTTTCATTTGGAGATTTACACAGGAAAAATAACCTCTTTATTAAATATATCAGCCAAAGGTTATACCTTTATAATCTTATAAATTGCTGACTCACCTCTGTTGGGGTCTGTGGAGTCTTTCTGTCTGCTTTCTGCCCGTCCTTACTGCCTTTTCTTTTGAGTGAGAGCTGCGGGGAAACAGTGGTTACATCACCATCAGCGGCAGCTTGGCGTTTTCTTACTGAGGGCAGTGATATCATCCAGATTTATGGAACACTGAACACTCACTAATGGAAAAAAGAGGACTGCTTAAACTCGCCCTCCAGAATGTTTCTGGTAAGATATTCAAATTCAAAGCACGCTGCTGTCTGTGCAGTTGTTATTTTAGAGCCTTGAAGAAAAACACCCAAAAACAACTGGTTTGTGAATATAAATATTTCTTACACATCACATCATAAGAAAGACATGTTGTCCTAAATATGTAATATTACTGCAGGGTAGTAGCACTGCTGCACTGACAACAAACCTGGCTGTTATATTGCTATAAACCCAGAGTACCCAAAGCAGGTTTTTCTGTTTTTGTCTTGGGATTATTTTACTTACATTTTAGCTAATTTTAATCTGGAGCTCATACATTCA